GCGGAACTGACGAGGACATCAAAGCCAGAATCGGAAAAGCAAGACAAGCTTTCATTACTCTCAAATCTGTGTGGAGGTCAACAGCAATCAGCATCAAAAATAAGATCCGGATTTTCAACTCCAATGTGAAGTCAGTGCTACTATACGGATCAGAGACTTGGCGAGTCATAAAGAGCATCTCAAACAAACTTCAAACCTTCATTAACAACTGTCTCCGCTCAATACTCAAGATCAGATGGCCAGAAAAGATCAGCAACAGGGATCTCTGGGAGCGAACCAATCAGGAACCGATTGTGAAACAAATAGGCAGAAAGAAATGGAGATGGATTGGCCATACGCTGAGGAAACCATCAAGTGACATCACTAGACAAGCCCTCGAGTGGAACCCGAAAGGGAGGCGGCGAGTTGGTCGTCCAAGGGTGACTTGGAGGAGGTCATGCGAGGAGGAGATGAAAGCATGTGGACAGACCTGGAGCAGGGTGAAAAAGTTGTCAGAAAACCGAAGTCAATGGAGGTGCGCAGCTGAAGCCCTATGTTCCTCTAGGAACTAAAGGATACAATAATAATAATAATAATAATAATCAAATCTCTACAAACCAACACTTGAATATCTATGAGATGCTCACTACAGACTTGTCCTATTCAGGTAGGTATTTACCTGTGGTACTAGTGAGAAGTCGTGACCAGTAGGGTGCAGAAGGTCGGGTGTGAGGAAAAATACTCCCCGAAGACATTGGCTAGGCGTCACGCTATGTCATGAATTGGCCGAAGATAGGATTCATGGGCTGGTCATTGGATCTGTTGGATCCCAGTGGCTTAATGGTATACGAGCTAGCTCACCTTGTAACCAGAAGGTCCTGGGTTCGAACCCTCGTGGTGGGTGCCTGGTGGTGAAGAGTCCCGAACTAGGACGAAACAGCTGTTCAGCACTCCCTGACAGTTTTTCCAATGGTTCTGTTACCAATGTCAGCTCATGATGGAAATCTGTGTAATTTGTCCACAGCGAATATCATTTATTTACTGGCTTTTTGTCAGCTTAGCTGAAATTAAATTAGACTTTATTCACACTAGTTCAAATTGGTGTTTGACTACTTTTGCACTCAGTAAACTGTGTACTTTTAAAAATAAATGAGATTTCAGCTGGTATACCAATTTTTATGAGATGACTGTTGCCATAGTAATATAGATTAGACATTATTATGCAGTGAAGAAGGCACATAATGACATTAACTCATGACTACATATCAACTTATCTATCTATCTATCTATCATAAATAATTCAGTAAAATCCGCCTACATTTCATATCTCGGTGAATTTATCTAAGCAACAGTTCTATAGGTGAGGAATTTTATCGCTCAGACACTATTTCCCGACACAGTCCTAGTAACCTGGATTTAAATCGTTTAGGACAATATTTTAGTGATAATTATCAGTTTTCTAGACTACATCGACTGCTGAAAGATAGTTTTTGCCCTAGATATTTTGAAGTTATTATCTATGTGAACTGTTTATTATAAAAGAAGAAATGTATTTAGGACTAATGGGGTTCTCGATTATTTATTCATATTTGCTGACCCCATAATCCAAACGTCTGAATAATAATGATAATAATAATTTGCTTTATTCCAAAAACAGTACAAATGATACAGCAAGGAATTTTCAGCATTCAGTACAATATTGCATCTAATTTACTCAAAAACGACAAAAAAATTATCAAGACACATTACATAATAATAATAAAACGATTGTTACAGCAGCTACATAGCAAAATACTGTATGCCATACGGTGAAAAATGTGCATAAAGTACAAAATTGTAGTAATAATAGTAATAACAAATAAAATAAAGTAGCAGAGTAATAATTAAACGATAGAAAGTGTGACACCATAAAATACAGAAAGATGAACGTTGAAAGGGTCGATTCACTGTGCTAATTACATAGTAACTTATATGTTTCACGTCTAACAGAGTCTTCATCACATAAAGTACGGGCTAAATAGGGTATTGTAGAATTTCTGTACTTAGTGGTACGAGCATATAACTTTTTATGTTGACTTCTCGTCCTACCTGATGAGATACAAGGGGACAGGTGTGAATAAAGGGGGTGCAGAGGGTCTGACAGTATAGCCTTTGCCCATTTCGTACAGGAATTTATATGCCTCTCGACTATAGTATTAGCGAGCTCATGCAGTGGCAGACCACAAGCTCTACTCACAGCATTTAATACTCTTCGTAATATGATATAATCTTTTTTGAGAAGCCCAGGAAAGATTAATGGAGAGCAATAGAGTACAATAGGTAAAATACAGGAGTTTAAAAATTGCAAAACTAAAGGTTGGTTGATACCTGATTGTCTTAACTTTTTAATGTAGAAGGTAAGACGAAACATTTTCTTAGAGATAGATAAGATGTGGGATGACCATGAAAGGTCAGAGGAAAGAACTAATTCAAGGTATTTAATACTTGACTTAGTTTCAATTTCCGTGCCATCTATGCTACAGGGATCATGCGAGCTAACTAGTTCATGTAAGTCACGTCGATGCTTGAAAGTAAAGTTAAGGCCTGACATTTGGAAGGATTTAACATAAAACCATTTGACTTAGACCAGTTGTTGATGTCCAACAGAAAGCTATTAAGTTTGGAGCTGTCAGACTCGGAAGTGATAGGCAGTGATACAGTCAGATCATCTGCATATTTGACAAAGTTAGTTTCGTTTGAATGAGGCAGGTCATGTAGGAAGAAAGAAAAAAGAAAAGGAGAGAGGACGGCACCTTGAAGAACACCGGCTATTGTAAGCTAGGTAGAAGAAGATTTGCCGTTATATACAGTATACTGCATTCTTACAGAAAAACAAGAATGCAACCAACTCTTAGCCCAGGATCCTGTTTGTGTCAACGAAAGCTTATTTGTTATTTAATAAAAGGCCCCTAGGTACAGAGTCAAAAGCAGATGTGTAGTCTAAGAAAGCACTACGAACATATTTAGCACCTTTGTCTAAACAAGAAACAACATTGTGATATAAGACGACCGCAGCATCCAAGGTACTTCTACCTTGTTTGTATCCAAATTGTTTAGGATCATTAAGAGGTTTCAATGAAGGTTCAAGACGAAGTAAAAGTAATTTTTCCATCAATTTAAAAAAGGAGAAGTAATTGCAATAGGCCGAAATTTAATATCAGTACCAGAAGATGGTTTTGGTATGGGGATAACTTTAATCTTTGTTAACATACACATGCATGAAATCCTCATGTCTTTCTATGTTACTGGTGTATAGTGCTTTACTATTTGGAACGATGTATGCTGGGTTCGAGTCTCACCCCAAGGGTAGATATACCCAAGTGACAAGTCCTAAATGCTGGACGGAACACATATCCTAGATTCAGCTGCTATTCACCGCCAGCTCAATAACTCCGAGTTATATTGGTGATATAATCTGATTTCTGTTATTATAAATTATTTAAATTAATCCCAGCGTGTTAAAAAAACCAAAATAAGATTTTTCTGAACGTTTTGTTGTGGAAGCCACAGCTTCTTCAGCATAAAAAAAGTCTGAATAATGCTGAAGAAGCTGTGGCTTCCACAACAAAACGTTCAGAAAAATCTTATTTTGGTTTTTTTAACACGCTGGGATTAATTTAAATAATTTATAATGAACCAATCTGATTCGGCGCTCAAATTATTCCAGGAAGTGCGTAACACCTACGGTCTGGAAACTTATAATCTGATTTCTGTTATGTCAAACAAAGCCTTGTTAAGGTTTATGTATGTGTGGGAGAATTTATGATGGACATAATAGATAAAATGATGCATTTTCTAGGATTATATAATTTTTTCCACCAGCATACTGTTGACTAAATTTCTTCTAGTCTTGGATTTTCTCGTATGTTCAATAAGTTCTGAAATGGCCCTAACGGGTTGGGAAATTGACCAATTAATTCCACTGTAATCAATATCTGACTCCGAATGGACTTAAATATGGATAAAAGCCACCTGACATGATATGTCAGCTATTTTGAAGTTGTTTCACCATAAGATAAGTACCAGTCCCCTTATTCGAGTAATAGGAGAACTATTAGACTAGCCTTTGGAGCAGAATATGAGTACTGATTAAGGCGATTTATTATTTAAGCGGTTTCAATATCCCATGAGATACTGTCTGGTGTATTTATCACTTGAGATATTTTACCACTGAAGTTTAAATGTAATGATGATCGGTCACAAAGTAACAGTGGATCGCATACTGTCTAAGTCCGATCAAAAATCAAATTTCATAGGTTTATTACATATTATTTGATCCATTTACCTGACGCTATACTTTGCTGTACCATCAGCAACCAAACGTCACATATTTGTAACACTGGGCAGGAATATTTGCCAATTAAGCAAAGGTGTTAGGTAGTGACTTCCTGCCAACCAAAAATATAACCACCGAATGACATCATTTTGAGAGAAATCAAAAATCAGAAAGCTCAGAACAGCTGTTTCGTCCTAGTTTAGGACTCTTCAGCCATTAATACGCATGATCTCATTAGGGATTGAACCTAGGATCTTAACTGTAACTTTGATCAATTTGTCATGAAATCAATCCCAATTCAAGACTTTCAAATTCCTCAGTATTTGAATTTTTATAATTTTATTACATTTTAATTTTATTTCTTTGCGTTCCTAGCGAAACGTAAGGCGTCAAGCTGGAGCTTCAAAGTTCCATCAGCAGTGGTGTTTATTCTTTATAGGGTATGGTTGCTAGCCTCATGTCTAGCTTCTACCCGTCTACTGAGATTTAGGAGTGGGTTGGCCAGAGATTGAATCTCAGACCACATAGGTGATTGGCTAGTATTCTGCTACTGAGCCACCGACGCCAGTATTTAAATATTTGGCTCTAGCCTACTAGATCGATAGTGGCGCGAATCTAAGGATAATAAGTTTGAATACAATACTAATGAAAGTTTTTCCGACGTTTTTTAAAATTATTATTTCTCTTTTATTTTCAAATATTTCAGATGAAAATAAAACATTTTGTAAACACGATGACTTGTTGCATGGATTGAAGTTAAGTGTTAAAACGCTTATGGAACATGCTGCAGTTTGTCGTTCAGTTCCTGAAGATAGTACTGTTGTGATTGACTTCTGTGGTAAGCAAAATTTGTAAAAGAAAAGATAAAATAGATTTAAACATTGTCATTTTTTATCAGTTTGGAAAGGATTAGTTTTTTTGGTTTCATTGTAACAACAGAAGACAAGGGCTGGTAACAGATCGTTTTATTACGAAAATCAACACGTTTTTATATATATTTTATGTACATTAATATGGGTTATGCAAGCGAAAAAAGGTAGTCTTCTGATTGGTTGTTTCTCGGAAGTTAAGCAGACAAACACAGTCTTCTGATTGGCTGTTTTCGATATTTCTCAGAAAGTAGAGCCATTTATCTGCGAATCATATTTGTTCAAGTTTAAGTTTGCTGTGATCGGTTATTGAAACAGCCTTGTTCATATTTTCTCACGACCCATATTAGTGACCTAGACATTGACGTAGATTAGTGTCAATCAATCGGCTAGCTGCCTGCTCTCACCACATCATGTCATTTCGTTTACATGCTAGGCAATATTTTTGATAGAAAATCCTACTGTTTAGTGTTTACGTTTCTGAAGTAAATACTACTGAATGAATATATGGAGAGAATAAACTATTTAGGGGGTGATTTTATCATTCAATAAGCTGAAATGAATTGAACTCATTTTTATTAACATGAAACTCTACACACAGTTGTGTAGCAAGCACTTGATGGCACCATATTTCATAAAGAACATATAAAAGGCAAAAAAAAATAGAAATACAACGAAGGTTTCGATGTGGTTGTGTTCTTTGAGTTGGTGGTTTAAATGCCAATGTGTATGTGTATGCATGCGAGTGTAAATTCGTGCAAATGAACTCGATGATATGAGGCTACTTACTAAACTCATCTCTGTTCACTGTCTGTAACATCTTTAGGTGAAGGTTTTGTCTAAAGATTTTAACAAAATATTTCAAAAGTTTAATGCATTTGGTTCCCTTGATAAATTTCGATAGAGAAAGAAAGACCAGATTTGCAGTATAAAATGGTATCATTCTATTTCACAGGTTCTCATCAGCTGCAAGCTAACTGAAATTATAATGGTTATAAATAATAACATTTCATAGTTCATTGTTTGAAAGGTAACAGAGAAGACATTATAAGGTGGACGCATCTGGAATATAAGTATTATAATCTAAGTCACCATCAATTTATATACTGTCAAAATATGAAAAAAGGAAAAAAGGGGGGTGAGAGAAGACAGAAAACAAAAAAATCTAATAAACAGTGTCAAATGGCAACTCAAGAAGGTCAAAGTTCATCAATTTGAAAACTTGCTTAGTGAGTTGAGCTCACTAGTGTGTATGACTAATCAGTGTAATGAAAGTGAGGTAATCGGCAGGAAGCCTTGGACCTGGGTTTCGTGCTAGTTGGCTTTCATCAGTCAGTCAGCAAGGCGTATCTGTAACTACCTTGAAGGAACTCATGTCCCACCTCCCTGAGATTCGAACCCGAATCACTCAGTGCTGCCTACAGTCAGGGAGGTTACCATTGAGCCAGCTATTCGGGCTCGCGATTGACCTCCTGTAGGACTGTAGTGGATATTTTGATCGGACACTAGTAACTAGTGTGGTGTGTTTAGTCCTTTCATTGGTGCAGACCGAGAGAGAGAGAGAGAGAGAGAGGACTAGACATATCACACTAGTTACTAGTGTCAAATCAGAAGATCCCACTGTTTAGTGTTTACGTTTCTAAAGTATATAATATTACTGAATGAATATATGGAAAAAACAAAATATTTAGGATGATTTCTTCATCATTTGATAATCGAAGTGAACTGAACTCATTTTTTGACATGAAACTCTGCATACAAGTGTGTAGCACTTTATGGTGTAACGACAGAAGACAAGAATCAGGCAACAGATAGTTTATTAAAGAAATCAACACATATTTATAGATTTTCATGTACATAGTATAGATTATTGGTAGTATCTCAGTGAAAGTTAGTCTTTCATCTCTTTGTGGCTGTTTCTTGAATGTCAGATCGTCTATCTGCTAATTGTATCCACCTGCTCAAAGTCTGCTGTCAGTCTTTGTTCTTGTTTTCACATGACTAATATTTGGACATAAACATTGACGTAAATTACTGTCTACCAATTTGGCTAGTAGCCAGCTCTCACCACATTGGCACCATATTTCATAAAGAACATATGCAAGACGAGAAAAAACAGAAGTGCAACGAAGATTTCGATGTGGTTTTGTTCTTTGAGTTGGATGGTTGAAATGCAAGTATTTGTATGCGTGCCAGTGTAAAGCCATACAAATGAACTCAATGATATAAGCCTGCTTGCTAAACTCATCTCTGTCCACTGTCTGTAACATCTTCAGGGGAAGGTTCTGTCTAAAGATTTTAACGAGATGTATTAAAAGTACCAGCAATTTGCAAATTATATCAACATATTCAACCTGAGGTATACTTTTTCTTAGACAAAGTGATTTTCAATCACCGATGTGTTCCAAGGTTTGATTCCAGTCAGCCGGTATATTTCTAAACCTCGCCTAGCCTGTAGTAAGCCCAACAAAGATGGAGGGTTGAGGAAGAGGTTAGCAAACACATCCCATAAAAATAAAACTACTGAGAGTAAACCGCAAAGCTGAAGCTCGAAGCCCTATGTTCCACACAAAACGTAAAGGAATACAATAAAAAAATAATAAAAACTAATTTTCAAAATAAATAAATAAAGGTAGACTTTACCTTGCAGTACAGTACATGAATAATGGGAAACTACTAATGTTAACCAGGTTAGTGTCTACTAGAAAGACTGAGGTAATCTAGAAATCAGACTAACATTTCTTTTTATTGAATGCATACTCATCAATAATTCAATTGGACTGTCTCAGATCAGAGAAGGGTATCGTATCAGGGAAAAAATCAGTTTCTTTCTAGATACTTAGGAGAACCAGTAACGCAATAACCATAGTAAGGTGTTTTATAAGTACAGAATTCTAGAGAAAACTGAACAGTTTGACCTTCTTAAGATCACTTACAGCTTCAAGAAAGAGATCAAAAGTGTGACTTAATATACCACTCCATATGCAAAGAGGAATCCCAAGAAAGAATTGCCTTCCTAGATGTCCTCCTTACCAGAAAACCAGATGGTAGCATAAAAAGAAATTTGCATAGGAAAAGTACACGGTCAGGACAATATACACACATTTTCACAGCTTCGTTCCTATCAAGTACAAAAGAAATTTAGTGAAGATCCTCAGCCACATAGTTAAAGCTATATGCTCAGAAGAAGTAAGTGAAGATGAATAAGGCATTGTATATGATATCTTGATTGGAAATAGCTATCCCGAAAAATTTATCAAGAAACACATGACAAAGAAAGTGGCGGAAAAGGACTACTCACTATCTGTAAACAAGAAGCCTCTTTATATACGACTACAATTCAAGGGCGATATACAAGTGAGATAATTACGAGGAAATTAAGAAAATCAGTTCAAAGAACTTTTAATGCTGGCGAACTACACATATTATTCTCTACACGACCGATGGTGCTACCTCGACTGAAAGATGAAGTACCTAGACTAGCTGGCCACTTCAAAGTGTATCTACCAATTCAACTGCGTTTGTGAGAGCGAGTCATATTGGCCGTTGCTCTAGGAACTTGAGTTTTCGTGCTCGAGAATATCTCCCACTATGGCTAAGTAAATGTGTAGTGAAAACCATTAACAGTTTGATATTGGACCACCTAGTGCAAACCGGCCGGCCACAAAGCCAGCCAGCGTGGAAGAATCCTTCTCAGTAATCTACCGGGTGCCTGATAAATTGCCAAAATCATCGAAGCACCGCATGCTTCAAATAGCAGAGGCTATTGCGATTCGCTTCAAACAACCAGTGCTGTGTGTTCAAAAGGAGCAAGTCCAGCCACCCTTCAGTAGAGACTATAAATTCATGAATTTGTAATATTATCTTTCCTAATTCGCATTTCTGACATTCAGCTTATTGTTATTTTGATGCTATTTAGCTGTAATCTATCAATGTTATTGATTCGATGTTATTTAAACAGCAACATTAATGTTGTTCATAACACGAATTCATTCATTCATTCACTATGATGCATGGATATATAACTGTAGAGCCTGATGATTAAGGCGTTATCGAAAAGAGTACTCTTTGTTCAGTATCCTGTCTTTTGAAATAGATACGGTTGTCAGTGGAATGCCATTTTACATCTAATGCGTTATTAATTTACATAAGTAGTTAACTGAGCCCTGTGGGGTTTGGGTTAATTTAATCTGGATTTACTACTGATTAGCTTAATCTTAAACGAGTAAACAGGCTTTTAGTGGTTTGTTAACCTTGTTACCGTATTAAGTGCTGAATTTCTATTTATCTTACTTAGTATTATTATTGTCTTAGGTTCCAAGTGGGAAACAGGGATTCAGCAGCGTTCTACATTTAGCTTAACTTTTGCCATAGACTCACGTTCCCCCTTACATGATCTCCTCTTTGTCACACAATTCATTTCCAACTCTGTTTCCTCTCTAGTGATGGCTTGGCGTAGTGTCACTCCACGGTCTCCTCAGCGTGTGTCTCGTCTGTCTTCATTCTCTGCATAATATTTGATGGGTTGGTCTTGTTGCTAATCCTTTCCGGCAGGCCACCTTGTCTTCAGTATGGCACGAAGGCAGCTGTTGATAAAAGTCTCCAATGGCCTGTTAGAAATGGCATGTTTCTAAACCATACAGAAGTGCTGACTTGAAATTACTGTTGATAATCTGAATCTTGTCCCTCGTGCTGAGTGCTGTAGGATTTCACACTGACTTCGGAATAATGAACAGTCTATCTTGCTTTTTCTAATTCTGGTTGTCTTTAATATCCTCATCCGTGACGCTATTAGTTGAAACGATGACTTCCAGCCAGGTATATGAAATAGATGACTTCCTTAGAATTCCTCCAGTTGATGATGGTTAGCGCTTGTCACTGTTGTTGTTGTTGTTATTGATTAGGTATCTGCATCATATTTCTTTTCAGGATTTCATCATGAGCTGACATCAGTTAGAGAACCATTGGA